AGCTACGCAAAAATTCAGTATGGTGTCCTTAGGAAGAAGTTAATTTGATGCTGGAGGACAAGAGACGAAACGTCGTATTGGAATTCTAATTATGTAGAGGTGGCAATGCTAATGTGCAATTTATTTAAAAGTCCCACAACAAATGAAGTCAGAAAAAAATTAAGACCATTTTGGGAAAATTCTTTTTTTCTGTATCTCTTTGAATAATGCTTCCTGATATTTTATTGTACCTCCAGGGATGTAATGTTAGGGATCAAGATGGACAAAACTTCATGGACCTCAGCCAAAAAACCCGTTTTGTCCCTACACATCTTCAACCTTCCAGTTTGCCTTCCGATCAGTCTCAGTATTTTAGATACATTCCTTCTCAATAGTTTATCCAGATGAGTCGTTTTCCTGTAATTAATAATCGACAGTAATACTTTGACCTTACTGAGTGTATTAAGTACTCCTCCATTGGTTTTATTTGCCGTCAAACTAACAACTTGGCGATCACTGTGATCTTCAAATAAGAACTGTTATACAGGGCGTTCCTTAATGATATGCGAATATTTAAGGGTGTTAATCTACATGAACAATTAATGTTAGTTTGCTTTATAAACTATGGTCCAAAAATGTTTCCTTACAAAAACTCGAGGTGTTGATGTTTTAGGAAAAAAATGGAAATTAATTAATATTTTCAGAACCGCTTCAGATATTTCACTGATATTTAGTACGTAGTGAAAGTTAATAAAGCTGCATATTTTTCAATGCAAAAATAATTTTTAGCTTTAACAGTGGCGTGCGTACAGGTATTGGCTTCAATATTCTTTAAGAAAAATATGTTAGGCCAATGGGTTTTTCCAAATAAAAATTATTTTTGAATTCCCCTTTCAATTTAAACCAAATGAGTTCTTCTGAATTGTTCTCATTCCATGCGCCATTTTTGAGTAAAAACATTAAAACCGTTCTACTGTCCAACTTGCAAAATTATTATTAATTTAAATGGAAAAATTAAACACATTAGGGGTAATGAAAAACAACAACAGACAACATAAACATAACATTAAAATCAACGAAATGATTACAAAACATGTTGAAAATTCACTTAGCATGCATGCTTCCACCGTCCTTCTCATGGAATTGCGCACTCGTTGAAATATCCCTGGAGTGTTTTTTTATTCTATCACAAACTGAAACTATTCTTTCTGTTAAGTCCTCTACAGTGTTAATGGGACTTGTGTACACTAGTATCTTAAGATATCCCCACAAAAAGAATTCTAAACTGTTGAGGTCTGGGGACCTTGGTGACCATTCTTGGGACCCACCGCGGCCAATCCAACGATTTTAATAAACAGTTTGTAAATAATTAATAACACTGAAATGCGCTGGTGCACCATCATGCATTTACCACATATTGTTTCTTATTATTAACGGATTACGGCATAGGGATTTTCTTCTGCCCACAAATGATTATTGTGGAAATTCTGAATGGCAATTCGAGAAAAATTAGCTTCGTCCGTGAAGAGTATCATTGATTCAAATTGCGGATTTTGTGTAATTTTTTGAAGATACTACTGACAAAAGGTCACATGCCTTGCAAAAACAATGAGAAGTAATGCCTGTACTCTTAGAATATGGAAAGGATATAACAAAAAATCTACTATGATTCTCCAAACAATTTGATAGCAAATATTTAAGTGTCTAGCGATCTTCCTCGTACTCGTTCCAGGATGTTCTTCGACTTCGTGCAGCACCGCTTTCTCAATTTCAGGTGTCCTCATACTTAGAGGTCTACCTTCAGATGTTCCTTTTTGGACAGAACCAGTTTCAACAAGGCGACGATGAATATTATAAAAGGTTCGACTATGTGCCAAAGTACGATCGGGATGTCTCTGGTGATAAATCCGCCTGGCTTGCTCACCATTACCATCGGCAAGGCCATATATTATTGACAAGATTGTAAAAACTAAATAATGAAAAAGATGTCACAGCGAACAGATTTGAATAACAGAGACTTGTCAGATGTCAAAAGTCAGTAACATATTCCAGAGCAACTAGATATTTATTGCTAAATTGCATTCTTCAATTATTACATAAATTTTATGAGACATTAGAGCGGTTTTTATTTTACTAAAAAATGGCGCATCCAAGGAAAACAATTCATGAAAGATCATTTGTTTTGAATTGAATGGGGAATTCAAAAATAATTTTTCATAAAAAAGTCAATAACCGCACTGTTAAAGCTAAAAGTTATTTTTGCATTTAAAAATATGCAACTTTATTAACTTTCACTACGTACTAAATATCAGTGAAAAATTTGAAGCGGTTCTGAAAATATTAATTAATTTCCATTTTTTCCCAAAAACAACACCCCGAGTTTTTGTAAGGAAACGTTTTTGGACCGTAGTTTATAAAGCAAACTAACATTAATTTTTCATGTAGACTCACACCCTTAAATATTCGCATAGCATTAAGGAACATCCTGTATACATCTGCTACCTTTTTACTTCTGCAAGCCAATAGATCATCATACCAAAATAATTCTTTTGACTAGCTCAACGTGGTATCTCAGTTATTTCTTGCTAAAGTTCGAAGACTTGTAGTTTGTAGATGCTCTCACGGGTTGAATACGTTTCATGACCATGTCAATTTTCACCAGTACGTTTGATTGTGAAGCAACTCACTATTCCCACTGCCATATTATAAATTGGGAGCAATTATGGTGGCCTTTTTAGCTTTCGGTAGCCCAATGTCGTGTTGGCTCGCAATAGGTGTGTGTCAATATTTTGCTTTGTAACAATTTCCATTTTGTTTATTCATACCAACTCATAAATTATACAATCATAGCATAATCATGCTTCGAGTTATTCCATTTCACACAAAGCGTTGTAGTCACGTGTGCCACTTATTTTATAGTACAGTACTCCCATTGCTAAAGTTTTTCAACAAAATTTTTTTCGATGCTTTATGTTGATGCCTCGAATGTTAGTTCCTTTGGTCTGCCTATTTAACACGACCCCAACATATCCAGCTAACTGTTAACAATGAATGAGGAAACAAGAAAGATATATGGTGAAACCTGTTTCATGATACACAAAATTCCATGGTAGCATACTGAGACAATTTAAGTGACACACTGAGGTTTGTGAATGAACTTTTCATCAAACAGAACATACTCTGTTTTTCTTTATACTATGTGTACTCTTTGTTAATACAATAAAGTATACACATTAACAAAGTCAGGAAAATAGTTTTGGTGAAAATTATTTGATAACATTAAGATGTTTTTCCTTTAGTATTAGAGGAGAGTCGCCAAATTAGAGACACTTTTCTTGGAACCAAAAATAAAACACTTTTTTATAGAAAAAAACATATGTTTTTATTGAAGGTTAAAGAATATTAGCTAGAAGAAGAAAATACAGTCAAATGAAACTAAAAATCTAGAAACCAATGGCAAAAAAATATATTTTTTTTTGCGAAAGTGACAAATTCAACACTTTAAAATAAGGGTCCTTATTTGAGACACTATGGTATCCTAATTTGAGACAGGATCCTAATTTGAGACAGCACTTAAATTAATTCAAAAGAACACTTTCTTCGCAGAAAGAATACAAAAACTTACCAGATGTAAGTTCTCCACAATCTTCAGTTTTTTTTCCTTTTAAAGCAAGTACTTTACTGTGTTTGTGTTGGACGATGGTAATGCCCATTTCATCTACATTAAAGATCCTATAAAATGGCTCTTTAATTTTTTCATATTCGGGCTGATACAGAGCGAACAAAAATGAAACTTTTTCACGTGTAAAAGATTTGACTCTGGCAGCTGATACTTCCTGCGGTGTTCTCATGGAAAGTTGTGGGTGTCGTTTTAAAAACAGTTTTAACCATTTTTTTCAGCAGCGTCTCTTTCCACATTAAATGGGTGTGATATATTATTTCTAATTGCCAGTTGGAAAGTCGTTCTCTTAATGTCACGTATTCTTAATTTATAAAAGCGGTCCTCCATTTCTAGGGTATATTGAAATAGTTCCTCTTCCAGGTTTGCAGGAAGCACAGTTTTACGTCCAATAGCTAAGCGCACAAGTTCTTCTGGATCTTTGTCAGATTTTACGTACCTCTCAACAGTGCCTTTCAGTACATTAAAACATTTTGCGGCTTTTAACTACCCCATTTTCTTACTCCTCACTGCCTCCACAGCTTTGACCATGTTTTCTGCGTTCCAGTCTTTACGTATCTTGGGCATCTGTATAAAAAATAAAATTGATTCTTTTTTATCCTAACAAATTTTATGGGGTCCTAATTTGAGATAGTCTATACAGCATTTTGAAAAAAAGATGAATGAAATCAGTAAAATCTCTCTCAAGTTATGGCATGACCACGCGAAATAGGGCTTCATTTATATATATATATATATATATATATATGAGCAGTAGTCATTGCCAAAGCCAACGACCAGTTGGGCACAAAATACAATCAATTGTTAATTGGGAAATTGGCAAATTTTTAGGCTTAAGCTGACTCTTTTGACGATAAAATCAAGCTTTCGGCATTCTCTATGGAGCCTTCATCAGGATTCTGAAAACACAATTGTGATGCTAGAAGATAGAACTTGTATAAAAACAAAAGTACGGAGACATTGGGCTTGTTGATAACGATAGATACCTTCGTTACATGTTAAAAATATCAATACACAAGAACATATTAAAAATTATTAAACATGAGAAGACATTTTAGTGAAACAATCGGAATGCAGTCTTTAACCTCCTACTTCCGCTACACGTGGAGAGGGGGACGGCACGGAACGATAAAGCGTCGACAGATGACAAGTGATTGACGCGACCGGACAGTGGAACTGTAAACCTCATTGTCCAATTTGGGTATGAAGTATACGAGGGACGCTCGGTAAACCTCCACCCAAATTACTAAAATGCTGAATTAATTTGTTTTGGAAAAATATGTAGTACACTCATATGAACTTTGTAGGCACGATTCGACTTTAACATAACTTTTTTCTTTCCAGGCAAGAAATGGCGCTCGCTAACGCCCCAGGACCGGCGCCCGTTTGTCGAAGAGGCGGAGCGCCTGCGCGTGATCCACATGACGGAGCACCCGAACTACAAGTACCGCCCGCGCAGGCGCAAGCACAACAAGCAGCGGGCTGGCAGCACCGGACAGCCAGGAGCCCAGGGTCAGCCGCCCGGGCAGTCGACTGGGCCGCCCAGGGTGCAGACGGCGCTGTCGAGTCCCGCGGGTGCGTCGATGCCCAGTCCGAGGTACAGCCAGGGGTACGTGCCCAATGCGGCGATGAGCCCCACCGTGCAGCAACAGGTGACCGGCGGCGGGACCTTTGCCACCATTGAATTTCCTAGTCCAGGTAAGTTACAGTTACTTAGTTCAGGCGCAATATACAGGCTGTTAAAATGAAAATGGAACGTATTTTTATGGAAACTGGTAAAGATACCAAAAATCTGAGTGGCGGTTGCGATAATGCACCAAATTAAAAGCTTGGAGTGGCCAAGAATAGAACCCAAAAAACAAGAAAAGGGGGTGAACCACAAGGCACTAAAACGGTGCTTAGCTTGATTCCTTGGTACGGACATTGGCAGGGGACCCCGATGTCTTCTGAAACTTCTTAACAGCCACTTGCAAAGTAATAAGCGATTATAAAAAGTTGGTTTGCAAAGAAAAGTGTGTGCTTCTAGCGGTTCGACTTCTGCTGTTGTTCTGATTGCGATAAAACGCGCTCTTCCTCTTTCTTCCAAAAACCTATAATCGCGACGAAATGTAGTGCCAAGAAAAACAGCGGCGGAACAAACAATGGAAATATATTTACATTAAATATATATAATATTAAATTTTAATATATACACGGTGATCCATAACTTCGTGCAATAGCAAACATGTATTTGTACATAGAGCACCCTATATTTTATTGCATACTTGAATAGAGCTTATAAAAAGAAGAAATTAGAGATCATCAAATATATGGTTTCGATTATCAATTGATTAGATATTTGGTCCACCGTCTGAAAAAATGCCCAGTTTTGACGGCTAGCAGCTACACCATTTTTGAAAATAAATCTTAGTTCACAAAAATGTTTATTGATTTCAAGCTGATCTGGAAAAAGAGCTAAAATTTATTATAGGTACATATACTAAGTGACATATAAATCCGAACACCCAGTTTAAATGGTTTTATTTTAATAAAAGTTGGTGAATGTATTTATCTTACTGTAAATAACAAGTGAAAAAATTTTCAGCCTTATCAGTTGGACATTCCGGTTTTTATACTGCTTTTTTTTAATTCACTAACGCTCTAAAAATGAATATTTCAGCCGCAGTAAAGTATCAACGTTGGCGGATTTTGGTTCTTGACATCCTTTACGATTGGTTACGATGCCTAGAGTACGGAGACCTGTGCGATTTCGTCAACTTAGTGAGTTTGATAGGGGCCGTATAGTGGGACTTCGGGAAGCTGGACTTTCTTTTCGAACAATTGCAGTTAGAGTGCAAAGAAGTGTAGACACTGTGGTTAGGTGTTGTCAGGCATGGCTTCGAGAAGGCCGTAAGCAAAGAGCAAGGGGCACTGGACGCCGCCGTAGAACAACAGACCGTGAAGATCGCCGCCTAAGATTATTGGCCTTAAGGGACCGTTTCTCCACTACCAGGTCCATTGCAAATGAATGGTTTGCAGAACACGGAAGACCTATTGGCATGAGAAGTGTTTACCGACGAATGAGAAGTTTTGGCTTGTTTTCATACCGGCCACAGTTGGTCCTCCCTTTAACTCGAGAACAGCGACGTAATCGCCTTGAGTGGTGCAGACAACGGTCAATCTGGGATCAGGAATGGAACAGTATTGTCTTTAGTGACGATTCTCGATTTTGTTTAGGCATGCACGATGGTCGTGCCAGGGTTAGAAGGCGACGTGGTGAAAGGAGGAATCCACAGTTTTTTGTTGAAAGACATGTTCATCACACTGTTGGAGTTATGGTTTGGGGTGCTATAGCTTATGGTTCCAGGTCACCTTTAATCTTCATCAGAGGTAACATGAACGCGCAGCGTTAGATCCACGAAGTTCTAGAACCCCATCTTTTACTCTATCTTGACACCCTGGCAGATCCAACTTTCCAACAAGATAATGCCCGACCACATGTTGCAAGAGTCACAATAGACTTCTTTCAACATACTGATGTCACGTTGTTACCGTGGCCACCAAGATCTCCCGACTTATCTCCAATTGAGCACGTGTGGGATATGATGGGTAGGAGATTGCTCAATTTGCAACGTCCTCCTCAGACTCTAGAAGCACTTCGAGAGGAGTTGGTGGTTGCCTGGAATGAGATGCCACAGCAGGACATTGACCACCTGATCAGAAGCATGCCTAGGCGCGTTGGAGAATGCGTAGCACATCAGGGTGCATCCACACATTATTAAACGTCAAAGGGCTTTAAAGCAGTGCAATCACTTTGAAATTTTTATCATTTACTTATTATGCTTCATTAAGTACAAAATTTTATTAAAATAAAACCAAACTGGGTGTTCGGATTTATATGTCACTTAGTATATACAGGGTTATCCAAATTAAGTGTCCACCATTAGTAACTTTGTTATTAGTGAAAATACAAAGTTGTTTGAATTAGCAAACTAGTAGCATTTTTAACGCTGGTAAAAATGAGAAATAAAAAAAAACAATTGAGAGTCGTTATTTTATTTTTTTCAGTAAAATAACATTTTTTTAAATGGAAACCCCTGTATATTATATTTTTTTCTGTTAAAGCATCAAATTTTAAACAAAAAAGCTTACAATAACTTTTCTCCTAGGTTACAAATTGTTGAAGTTATGGCCTCCAATCTGAAACAATTAAATTGTATCGACAAACTTTATTTTCAACATCAACTTATAATCTTACAAAATACAATAACAATTTTTTTTAAAGAAGATGCTCGAAAACACCACCTTGTTCTTCAATACATTTTTGGGCACGTTTTTCAACTGCTCGAACTGTCTTAAGTATGGTCCTGCCATCTATCTGGGTTATCTTTTCCCTAACTGCAGCCTTTAACGCGTCAAGGTTATCGTACCTTCGCTTGTAAATTTGGTTATTTAAGTAACCCCACAAGAAGTAATCAAGTGGGTTTAGATCTGGTGATCTGGGAGGCCACTGTATTGGGCCATTTGTTCCTATCCACTGATCATTAAAAGTAGTACTTAGAAAATGATAAGTACCTCTGGAGTTGTGGGCAGGTGCGCCATCTTGCTGAAAATGCAGATGATGTCTACTTATAAGATCCAATTCGTCTAAGAAATTAGTCAGAATTTCTGACATAAATTCCACATATCTTTCACCAGTTAGGGTTCCCTCATAAAAGAGCGGGCCAACAATTTTTGAACCAATTATACCGCACCAAACGTTGAAACTGAAACGGACTTGTGGGCCTCTTGGATGTACTAACAAAAGATTTTCTCTTGACCAATAATGGTGGTTTTTTCTATTAAACATTCCAGAATTTGAAAAATTTGATTCATCTGTCCATAAAAGGTAACGAAAGTTATTTACATTTTGGCGACAGAAGCTAAGATACCAATGGCAAAAAACAAGTCTTCTCTCTGGATCCCCTGCCAAAAGCGTTTGAACTGGTCGGTACTTATACGGAATAAATTTGTATTTTTTTAAAATCCTTTGAACAGTACCATAACTGAAATTAGAGTCCTTGAGAATATCTGCTATTGAATTCTCACGATAAGCTTCAAAATATCCAATAACTACAATTTCCGTGGCCTCGCTTATTATGAATTCTTTTTTTGCCCTTGTTTTAGCAAAAACATTTTCGTTGCCCCTAAATTTTCGATAAAGTCTCAGAAAATATCGTTCATACGGTTGAATGCGAGCGGGATATAATTCACTGTAGTATTTATTCTCTTGCTCTCAAGGAGGATTTTCTGCACACTAAATAGCATTCTAACATATCACACTTTTCTTCATGGGATAACATTTTTCTTTAAATTAATGACACAATAAAGCTTATAAACAAGTATTTACACTAATGTTTGACATTATTTGATTTTATCATTGTTTTCCAAAGCCTTCTAGTTGCGAGTATGTCCAGTTTAACAATTTGTCGCTTATCTTAATGCTGTCAAATCGCGAACGCCATGTTGTTTTCATAGCCGTCTTAATATTATAATACTGCAAATAATTAAAAATATTTATCGTTATTTTGACTTTATTTTTGACTTTAGCGGAAAAGTCATTATGAACTTTTTTGTTTAAAATTTGATGCTTTAACAGAAAAAAATATAATATACAGGGGTTTTCATTTAAAAAAATGTTATTTTACTGAAAAAAATCAAAATAACGACTCTCAATTGTTTTTTTTTATTTCTCATTTTTACCAGCGTTAAAAATGCTACTAGTTTGCTAATTCAAACAACTTTGTATTTTCACTAATAACAAAGTTACTAATGGTGGACACTTAATTTGGATAACCCTGTATACAAACCAAATACATTTTGTATTTAAACATGAAATCAAATCAATAGCTTTTATTAACACAACAAAAATAGTCTCAGCCTAAGACAATCAATCAGTAATAAATTGTTGGAATATGCTGGAAGGTACACAAGGCTAGACGCCTGTTGAAATTATCTTGCACGTCTAAAAGTATTTGTCTAGGTACCCGCTTGAACTACTCGCTTACACGACGTTTCGTGTCCTCGAGTGTTGTAGGTTTCTCCTGGTAAACCAGATCAGGAGATCTCAATGGCCACCTTTCCCTCTCCATTAGGGCGCCAGCGCCCTGGATACTCCCATACCGCTCGATGGTAATGGTGTGGGGCACCACCATATTGGAACCACACATTTTTTCCGGTTGTTAAATTTACATTCTCTAGTAAAAGAGGTTAAAACGTGGTTGTGGAGAAATACTAGACCTGACATCAAACATCTAAGAATCGACAGAACTACTTGGAATGTATTACAGCAATTTCATAATGAGTTAAAACGGCTGAGCTTAAAAAAGTTCATGGAAGATCTGGTTGTAAGTCTAAATGTGGACTATATTTTTTTCTCGGAATTAATATCAATGTTTCTAAAACTAAACTGCTGTCTTGATTCAGGTCTAAAGGCCGTCGTCGGTTGGAATTTCTTCCTAACGTTTCACTAGCACGAGTGGCAAGCTTCTTCAGAGGTGCTTCCATTTCCCATGCTGGATGTAGACTGACGATTTCTCTTGCACAGGTTGTATTTATACCGGATGGTAGGGGACGTGGCTTCTTCCGCTTCGGTTGATTTCGTGATGTCGATCGGTACTGCTAGGGCGTTTCTGAGGATCGGGTGCCAGATCGGGTTGAGTCTGAGGGTCTCTTACTTC